CAGTTCTTATTATAATGGATGGGGCAACCGATAAAACCAATAACATAGGCCAATTGGTCTTATTAAGATAAGCTGCATTTCGTTCCTTTTATTCGTTTATCAGTCAAGGCCTACCACAAACTTGAATCATCACATGACTTGTTAAATTTTTCCTTGCTTTCCCCTTTTGACCTGTGCCTAAATTGTGAGAGGAGAACATATCACAGAGCTAGCTTTTGCCGAGAAAAAGGCGAACGAAATAACTAGAATCCCTTTGTCAATTCTTTGCTCTTTTTCCTTTTTTATCAATTAGAAGAAAAAAAGTAGCAATTCAATTTCAGATGGTTTGAGCTCGGAAGCAACTTGCTATATGTTGACAACTCGATATTTATATCGAATAATGAAAACATGTCATGTGTCATCCGTATTTCCCTCGGTCTCATTTTATCAGTCGTGGTTACTAAACATAATTATCTTAAATTATTCGTCATTTTAGAATTTCAAGACAATTAATTATTTTTTTCCTTTCTTACCCTTAGTAATAATTATACTTGAAGACTACAAACACCTCACTTATGGATAACTTTGTTCAAATATCAATAAAAAAAAATTAAATATTAAAACATGAATAAGGATAAAGTAGTCAAATTTTCATCCTAATTAATTTTTTTTAAGGAACGTGTATAAGAGAATCATGACAGATAATTTGAGATGGAGAGAGTATAAAGTAATATATTTTGATGTTAACATGGACACTAATACGGTTAAAGGTTTAGTTTTAGCCTTTAATATGCTCATCACGTATTCCTACTTTTCCAGTTTTGACTCGTTATTCTTCTTACTCGGTCATCTGGACATAAACTACTGGATCAACTAGTAAAAGAAAAAACAAATAGAAATTAGTAATAATAATTCGCAAGTTTCTGTTCATATAATATATATTGCCGTTCATAGATATGGGGAATTGATAACAGTATTAAAATCTCTAAAGAAGTCATATTACAACACTTGTAAATAATTAGCCTCTAAAATGTAGTAAATATATTTTGAATAAATATGATTGATAGTAATATATTTCCATCGAAGTTTCTGGGTATAATTAAAGATTCAGAAAAATTAAGTTCAACCCTTTAAAAAAAAATGAAAAGATGTCATGATAGTGAGTGGTGGTCTCATGATATATGTGTTAGCACTAAAAAATACAAGAAAGGTTCATCTTCTCCTTGAGGAGGTGGGGGGTGGGTGGGGAGTTGAGGAAGATGAACAACAATAACAATAAATAGATGTAATTTCAAAAGTGGAATTTGAGGAGAATAATATGTACGCCGAACTTAGAAAAATAGAAGTGAAATAAAATAAAATAAAAAAGAGCAAAAAAGGAGGTAAATAACACGTGGTAAATTGTGCATACACTCTCATGTTCTAATTGTAAGTACATTTTTAGCCATCCAAGAATTACTACATAGATCAATAATAACAACATAACAATAATAACAAAAAATTCAGTGTAATCTCACGGTTTCCTATATAGATCAAGAACATTGTAAAAGAAAGGTATTGAACGTACCTGTGATTTAGGCATTGTGGAAGAACGTTCATTTTGGCTGGGCTCCTATTATTTGGTTGCTATTTTTTCATGTTTGACAAGTGGTATAGGTGATAAAACAATAATATCTGTAATGTTTTCTTTTTCATATTTCCAACAAAAGTGGTCGAAAATATTTAAATAAGTTTCCAAAAACATGAATTTGTGATGGCAGCCATCGCAAAATTCAACAAAATGTCCAGTTTTAAATTTTTTCCGAGGGATCAAATTAAAAAAAAGTTAATCTAATCATAAAATTTTCGATGGATTTCATGGCAATTTCAGGAAGAAAAAAAAGTTTAATCTTAAAATTTTCTGACGAATTCTGGCCAAATTGCACAATTTTCTTTTCGAGGAAGTCTCTCGGAAACTCCTTGATATTTCTCGTGAAATTGTCACTAGCACTCCAATTTTTTAAAGACTTTAGCCACACTAGTTCATATTAAATACTATACATGTATAGCATGTCACAGTAGCGCAATCCCGTGTACAAGATATTTCGCGTTCATCCAGTATCGGGGGAGAGCTGCACTTCAAGGAATGTGATATAGACAGTCTACTTTAATACAAACATTAGTCACTGATTTCATAGTTCGAACTCGTGACTTATAGGTCACACGCGGAAATAACTTTACCGCATGAGACTCAAAGTCAATGCAAATACTTTGTCAAATGTAAGACTTTATCAGTTTATTTATCACATGACGCCCTTCCACTCATTCTCCAATTTTAAGAAGTAAACGGAATACAGCATGGAAACATTCTTTCCCAACCATGCACCCCAGCTTGTCACCTTAAATATTATTTGGGTGAGTGTTATTTAGATTAATTTATCAATTATTATATTGAAGAAGACTTGGTAATTGATCCTGTTACAAGTTACGTATCTCGGTATGTGTATTGTTTTTGACTTTTTGTGAATCACAAGGGGTGATCGAGGCACTTTATTTGTTTATTCATTATCCAGCAAATTCCGATAGCTAAATAGAATTGATCAGAAAGCCAACATTCCTACCCCTGAACTTGCTAGCCAATATTCACCAAAAAAAGAGGAAAAATATGTGTTACAAAAGTTAGCTTGTGATTAGTGGTATCAAAATGGTTAAAAGAAAACAGTTAACCACCCATATTATCTACTAAAAAAAAGAGTTGGATAATAAACTTTTTAAAAACGGGTCAAATATGGATAAGAATCATATTATCCATTGGATAACCAACGAGTAACCAATGAGTTTAACTTTTACATTTGTAAAACCTCAAATTGAGGATTCTTCAAGTTTGGGAGACTGAAAATTCTCCCATAAGTGATCATATTCAAGAAGTCATAGATAATATAATTATCGATATTATCCGCCGGTTAACTAATTTTTTATCCGTATTAAATATGGGTCGGGTCGAATAATTTATCCGTTTTCGACCCGAACCATATCCAAACCGACCCGCCCGTTTGTCCCTCCTACTTGTGATTATGAGTTTGTGGATAAAATAGTTGATGCAACAGAGTAATCTTATAAGACTTTGATCTACCATGTTAACATAATTGCAAAAGAGAATTAAGCTTTTTCTGAAGATTGTTTTCACCCTAGCTATGTAGGTGGAAAAACGAGCTGATATTAAATGGCAATAGTGAGTTATCTTAGGTAATTACCTCTAAAAGTTCTGAACCTCATCCACTAAGGTTCTGAACTCTTAGCCCATCATCGGAGGCAGTGGTGGAGCCGGAGATTTTATTAAGAGAATTCAACTTTTATAAAAATAATGTTGGGTACGCGAACAAAATCTCACACTAAGCTGAAAAGATTGGAGTCTAAATATAAGGTGTAAGGATCTCGGAGTGAAGGTTTTTGGATAAAATCGTGCAAGTTTGGCCCAAAGAGGTGATAATATCACGCCATATTTAAAGTATCTATGGGTTGCTTTAGCAACAACTGATATTAGAGCCTAGGTTTAATGGGACGAGTATAATGGTGGCAGAGTGATGGCGTGGGGCTAGGTCTACTTTTCTCTTACGAACTTCGAGATGCACCCAATACAAAAAGAAGCTAGGTGTAGGCTTCGGTTGCCTTACATACTAATTTGGGTGGTATATAGTAATTCTCGAAAATTGGCCTGTGATTCGTGGTAATGGGCTACGTAGAACTTAGTTCGATAAAAAGATCTGTGGTTCGTGGTGATGAGCCACGTAGAACTTAGTTGAGAGTGAGATTATTGGGTGTGCGAACAAAGCCTCACATTGGTAACTGAAAAGATTAGAAGTCTACATATAAGATGCAAGAACTCTTAATGTTATTAGGCCTTTAGGATAAAACCATGCAGACTTGCCCTAAAGTGGATAATATCACGCCATGTTTCAAGTCAAGGGGATTCAACCCTTGTAGTTATCATACATTTTATTATTTTTGGCTTGAAATATACATGTATGATAAGTAAATACTTTGAGCAAGGGGTATCATATGAACCCCCTTGCTTCAATGTGGCTCCGCCACTGACGGGAGGTAACAAGAATATGGTGTAAGCAAATTCAATGAACTATCTAGTGGCGAAACCCGGATTTTAAAATATAAAGAAGTTAAGGGAATTCAACACATTTAGTATGTATACACAGATTCTTAGTACCTATATGTGACTTTTCAGCCAAAGGTGTCAATGACAAGATGGTGGTGCAAACAAGACCACGACGAGCCTATTGAAACCACAGTGCAGCAAATGAGTAGTATGAAGGTGTGACAGAGAGAAGTAGTAAGATGTGAAATCACTTTTGAATATAAATTAACTTGTATTCACAGAACAACGAGTTCATGCTAAGATTATGAATTTTTCAATTTAAGACCTTAAGAAATGATAAATGGCATCATCCAGCATTCTAAATATACAGTTCTCATTTTCAGTGAGCTCTGCAACAGCAAACTGAACCAGAGACTAAAGAGGTGGTAAACCTTATAGAGCAGTTAACGTCTAATTGAATTGTCTTTAATTAGTTGATACAAATATCTATTGAAGATGAATAGAATTGAAAGACCTGTTGTAAAGAGATCCCATAGAACTCATATTTGTGAAATGGTGATATGATAATCCAACAGATCCTACAAGTTGTTATTAATTTATCATCTAGTTGCTTTGTTTAATTAAAGACATGCAAAGGAGTTGTTCACACTATATAGTTGCTTCATTTTGAGACAAGACTTTATATAGCTGGAGACATCAATCTGAATTCAAAGCACTACATTCAAGAATTTAATTTTGCAAGTCTTGTGTCCAATAGTCTTATATTGGGAGATATTTCTCATATTGCATTGAATGAAAACATTCCCCTCCAAAACTATCATTCTAATTCTCTCTCTTTCATTCACTTCCAACAATACAGGAGAGAGCAATTAGCACCACATTCTTGAAGTTGACTCAATAATAACTTCACCAGTTCTGAAAAAGTCAAAAGATGGCAGCTTTAGTGGGCAACCTCTTACGCAGATTAGAAGAATTTCCGATGCATAAAGTGGATCCTCGTATAGCTGCAGAGCTGCAAAACATTGAGAAAGCATTCAGTATCTTGCTGTCTCATGTACAGGATGCTGAATGGGAATTGCTGAACCACTTAATAATGGATCTCCGATATGCTGAAGGCAATCTCCTGTATGGTGAATGGGCTCTCCCGTATGCTGATGGGACGCTCCTGTATGCTGATCGTGAAGATCTCCAGGATGCTGAATGGGATCTCCATGAAAAAAAATGGAGAACATCAAATGCTCGCTTTGATATAAGCAAATTGCAGAACTCCATAATGATGCATACCTGGCCTAGGCAGGTTGCAGCTTGGGCAGCTGATGTTGAAGAAATAGTTATCAGTTATGACTTCCATTTGCTTAACTTCAATACCGGAACCCTCTTCAGCAAGTTCGTGTATTCGTGTCCTTTCATGTCGGATTCAAATAATGTGGTTTCTAAAATAAGAAACTATTTGTCAATTCACTCTTGGTCCATAAGAACCTCACGAATGATTCAGGTATTCTGCCCTATTGACCAGAGTTCTGCTGAGGACTGTGTATTGTTGTTAGGAAAGGTTTCGGAAGTGCTTGCCAGCCCAGATATGGCAGAGATGTTGCAGCAGCTGAAAAGGACCATATCCCCTCAGCATCAGACAGTTGATAACTTCCTTTCAAACCATGATTCAAGAACTAAACAAATTCGAAGGAATCTTGAATCAGAAGACCTGATAGGACGAGCTGAGGAGGTGAAACTTGTTGAAGGTTTGTTATTGGCAAAGGCGGAAGAAGGTCCTGACATTATCACCATATCAGGGGAGGCAGGAATTGGAAAAACAACTGTTGCAGAAGCTGTATATGAGCAAGTCCACAAACACTTTGATTGCCACGCTTGGGTCTTCGTGTCTAGGAACGATTCTACTAGGCGTGTAATGCAAAACATCTTGAAAGGCGTCCTGAAAAGCATTTCAGTCATGGCTCCAAAAAATATAGACACACTGGAAAAAGAGTCAATGAAGAAGTTGATGAACATTTGGTTGATTGGAAAGAAGTTCTTGCTGATCTTGGACGATGTTCCATCGTGGGAAATCGTTCAGGAAGTAAAGGACGCTATACCTAGAGGCAGCGAAACAACAAAGATACTCGTTACATCTCGGGTAGAAAAATACAACTTCCCTCTTAAAAATCAATGCAAACTAGATCCGATATATTCATCCGACTTGCTGCACAAGCATGCCGGAAGCTCTGAGCGTGGCAAGGAATTCTTATCCACCGTAGAATCAGTAGATAAGAATATTGTGAGACTATGTCGTGGTCTCCCTCTTGCTATCGTAACAGTGGGAAGGATGCTCTCAACAAAGCATGCGGCTGAAGATTGGATCAAAGTCCATCAAATGTTTTTGCAAGGGGCTAACTTCATGTCATTATGTTATGCTGATTTAAGCCCCGAACTCCAAAGCTGTTTCTTGTATGCTGCCTCGTTCCCTTGTCACTTTGAGATCTCATGTAAAAAGTTGAAACGTTTGTGGATAGCCGAGGGCTTCGTGCATCAGGACAACAATAGAACATTGGAGGAATCAGCACAGCTTCAACTAGAGGAGCTCATCCACAGGAACATGATTCAGGGAGTCAAGAGGAACATAGATGGAAAGGTCAAAACTTGTCAAATCCTCCAAAGGATACGCGAATTTGCTTTGAGAAGATCCGAAGAAGATCATTTTAGTGTCGTCCTAAAAAACTTAAAGAGCACGCTCCTGGAGAAGTATCATCGTGCTTTTTATTATGATGCCAGCTACAATGGTACCTCAACAAGTAAGTTTTCTCGAAAAAACTTTAGCAGGCTGTACTCTTTTCTTGCACTTGAAGAAAATCCGCACCAGCCCCTCAATTTAAATGATTTCAAATTGCTATCTGTCTTGGAACTTCAAGGTTTTTGCCATGAATTATTGCCTGATGCCGTAGGAGATTTAGCTCTACTACGGTATTTAGGATTGAGGGGAAGTAAGATTAAGAAACTACCAGTGTCTCTTAAGAAGTTAAGCAGATTACAAACTTTGGACACCAGAGACACATTTATAAGTGACTTGCCTTCTGATTTAGAAGGTTTGGGGATGATGAGGCATCTTCTTCTAGAAGGATCATTCACTGACAAGGTAGTGAATCTTAGAGATGGAATTATTGAAGCCTTTAAAGATCTTCAAACGGTTGCTGGACTTAAAATGACAGAAGCTATAGCAAAAGGGTTAATTCATCTAAGAGGCATAAGAAAATTATCGGTTGGTGCAGTACAAGGTTCCCATTTGGTTCCCCTACTTGAGGCTATCAAAAAAATGGAGTTTCTCAGATCCTTTACAATGAAAAGTTCTTTTGATCAGGATCAAAGTTACGCGCTTCCACTCATTCCACTGTACAACCTAGAAAGGTTGTGCATTGGTGGTCCTATGAGGAATAATTTTCTTGATTGGTTTGGTAAGTTATACAATCTTAAGTCCTTATATTTATGGAACAGCAAACTTACTAAAGATCCTCTCTGGGGTCTCCAAAATCTGCCCAATATTATCCTCCTATCCCTTTGCAATTCGTATGATGGCGAAGACATTGTGTTTGGAGATAGTGGTTTCCCCAAACTGAAGAAATTATCCATTCTCCATTGTCGAAATCTTAGGAATTGGAAAAAGATACCATATGGTGCAATGACAAAGCTCGAGACTTTGAATCTCGGATATTGTCCCAGGCTTGTTTCACTTCCAGAAGGATTGGAAAAACTGACCTCTCTTTGTTCCTTACAAATCTCAAACATGTCGGCTCAGTTCATGAAAGATGCTAATGAATTGCGATCAATTTCCAATTTTTCGATATCTATTCAAGGCATAAAAAACAGTTCTTAACTCCAGGGAATTTCCTGGTAACATCAAAAGACTCTGAAAATGAAGCCAACTGATCCGAACTCCAACTATTGGAAGACTCCTTTGTTGTTGTTTTTTTCTCATGTTCTTTTATTACCAGAAGCTGTTGTGATATTGTAATGAAAACACTTTGATATATGTTCTTTCCAATAAAAGTTTGACATTTTTAGTTCTGCCCAAGTTCATATGTTCATGTCATGTTAGTTTTGCCCAAGTTCATATGTTCCAGACATTCCATAGCTAGGTTCAAGATTCTTCTTTATTCATGTATCCAAGATTGATGTACACATTTTTTGACAAGGCAAAAGCTAAGAAGGTGTAAGGTATTAGCATTTTCTTCCTCGCTCGCCCGGCGTAGTTTAAGCTAACGTGCGCCGACCTCGTCAATGGCAGGAAAATCACGCGGTCATCCTAAAAAGCAACAGATCAAGGTTGATGACAAAATACCCAAGCTTAGGAACATCGGAAGTACCTCGTCTGCACTCATGGAGTCAATCTCAGGGACTTCCAAAACACAGGTAGGAGGTGGAATACTTACCCAGATCCCTTATGTCGGAGCCTCTGCATCTGCAAGCCCTCAGACCCTTATTCCTATGCAAGTGAATTTGAGAGAGAGTGTAACCCCTCCTCTATCTAGGGGTGTTACTATTCCATTGGGCAAGGAGCTGGAAGCTGGAAATCAAGCTCCAAAATCAGCTGAAGCTACATTGGGGAAGAAGAAGAAAGCTGAGAATCAGTCACCAGCACACAATACTGTTTCATTGCTGGAAAGTACCAGGGAACCAACTTGGGCTGGGGTCCTTAATGGAAATCGATCAGCTGCTAATGGTATGCCTTTGTACTACATTACTCCTGAAGTAGTGGAAGGTAATCTTGTGGCTAAACTTGAGAAATCAGATTTAGAAGCTGAAACTTTAAAATGGAAATGTGCCCTAATCATTTATGTAATTGGGGAAATGCCAGGGTATAATTATATGCATAGATATATATAAACCAGATGTAGAATACAGTCACTATGCCAAAGATCTATTCTCATGATGATGGATACTACATCGTTAGGTTTCAATCCATGACTGATATGAAGAAAATTCTGTATGAGGGACCTTACATAGTCAACAATAGACCCACGATAATGAAACAATGGAGTCCACAGTTTGATTTTGATGCTGAATTTTTAACTGAGATTCCTCTTTGGGTTAGATTTCCCAAACTCCCCATGAACTACAGGGGAGGTAGCTCATTGAGTAGAATAGCAAGTATAATAGGGATTCCACTATTTGCAGATGAGTGCACTACCAAACAAACTAGAATCTCTTATGCCAGAATCCTCATTGAGGTGAATGTCACTAAACCTCTTCCTAGCAAGGTCCATATTATGGATGACTCAGGTAGGGTGTTTGATCAGATAGTGGAATATGACTGAAAACCTGAATTCTATGGGAAGTGCTTAAAAATTGGTCATGACTGAACAAGAGCTCGCAAGGAGAAGGTTAAGCATGTTCAACAGCCTAAAAGAAATAGGCCACAACTTGTGAAGTAAGTGTGGAAGAGTACATGAGTTGTGTTAGCTCCTGCACACAAAGGGAGGAAAATAGCTTACTACTTGTAAATGGGCTTACTACTTGTGCTGATGAGAGCAGAATAGCAGAACCAATACCTGCAGAAGGTCAGCAACAATCTCTTGAAAAAGGGAAGAAAATAGCTGAAGTAAATGACATACCTCTAAACTATGCACAATACAACTGGTAAGCAAAGATCTAGCCAACAGACAAATGTAGCACTGATGGCTAATTTGTCAATACCATCTGCACGTGGTACATCCAAACCTACTTGATGTCTTGGTTGGTTTGGAACATTAGAGGTACCAACAAACATTATAAGCAAAAGAGTTGGGCACTTATATTAAAGAGAATAATATTAAATTAGTTGGTTTAGTAGAAACTAGAGTCAAAAACGATAAGGCAGATGGCATTGCTAATAGGGTAGTGTCAGGCTGGCAAGCAAGATTTAACTATGATTATGTTGCTAATGCAAGGGTCTGGATATTATGGGATCCTTCCTACTACGATATAACAGTGATAGATCAGTCTTCTCAAGCTATGCATTATGATGTTAGAGGAAGGAAGGTTCAAATGAACTGTCTCATGACAATCATTTATGGGTTTAACATAATTGAGATGAGAAAGCCCCTATGGGTGCAATTGCAAAACCTTGCAGCATAGATCACCAAGCCTTGGCTCATTTGGGGAGATTTTAACTCAATGTTAAATATACAAGGCAGAATACATGGGAACCCAGTAACTAGTAATGAGACTCAAGACTTCACATACTTTATGCAATGTTTGAACCTATGTGAATTGCCTTGGAAGGGGGAATACTTTACATGGTCTAATAAACAACAAGGTGCAGATAGAGTTTTCATCAGGATTGATAGAGCCATTGGAAATGATGAATGGATGAATACCTTTGGTCATATGGAGGTGGACTATAAAATGCCTTCTATCTCAGATCATACACCCATGATGATCATTTTAAGGAAAGCTGAATCCAGTGGCAAGATCCTATTTAACTTCTTTAATATTTGGGCTGATCATGAAGACTTCTTATCAGTGGTTGAGGGAGTTTGACAGACACAACTAAATTCAGACACCATGAAAGATATCTGGTACAAGTTGATAGGTCAGAATTAAAGCAACTTAATAATAATGAGTTCAGGGGAGTAACTACTAAGATAGAGCATCTCAGATACAAGCTGCAGGATACTCAAGAGCACCTGAACAGAGACTACTCTGATGCAGTTGCATTAGAGGAGAAAAGGTTACTTGAAGAGCTGGAAAGATGGTCACTAATATAGGAAAGCATCCTTCAACAGAAATCCAGAGCTAAGTGGATAAAGCTCGGTGATTCTAACACCAAATATTTCTCAGTTGTCATGAAGGAAAAAGTCATAAAAAGTTATTGCAAAACTTACTTACGCCTTTGGAGATAGACTCACTAACCAGAAGCAGATCCAACAAGAAATAATCCCTTATGGGATCAAGATCGGATCACTTGCCTGCAGTGAACAGAGAGATAATAAAATTGGGACATGTCCTCACACACTCCCAGCAGGTGAGTATGTGTGCTGAGGTCACTAACCAAGAAATATTTGAATCTGTGTGTGCAATTGGAGATTATAAAGTACCAGGTGTTGATGGATATAATGCACTATTTTTCAAAAGAACTTGGACACTTATCAGACCAGAAGTGTGTCATGCAGTGAATGAGTTCTTTCATTCAAGCAAGCTTCTTAGAGCAATTAATTGCACAGCTATCACCCTGATTCCTAAGGTTCCTCATCATACAAGTATCAATGAGTATAGACCTATCGCTTCTTGCACTGTACTGTATAAATTAATTGCCAAAATTCTTGCAAACAGGCTGCAAAACGTTATTGCTTCCGTTGTGTCTGACACCTAAGGCTGGCAAGTGGGCCGGTCCAGGACCGGGACCGGCCCAGGACTGCGGCCCAAGTGGGTAGTGGGCCTAAACGGGTTGAACCGTTTAAGACCGGGACATGGGGAGGTGGGCCCGGCAAGTGGGTCGGTCCTTATCTTAAGAGTCGCGAGACAGGACCGTTTGAGACCGGGACCGGACCGGTCCTAGCGGGCCTAAACGGTCCCAGCGGCCATAATTTTAAAAAATAAATCTGCCCGTTTGGGCATTAAAAATCTAGTTGTTTCCTCTACCAAAATAGCCGTTGGCTATTTACAAAATAGCCATTTAACTCCCAACTTGGTTTTAACTCCAAACTTTTTATAATTATACTTTTTCTCAATTTTCAACTATATATACCCCCTCATTCTTTCATTTTTCTCAACGATAATTAATTTTCAACAAGTTGTTCGTCAATTCGGTAAACTCGTTCCAACTCTTAAGTTTTAATATTATAGTTTTGTAGAAAGAAAGGTTCCTAAACCTTGTCCAACTACAAATGCGGATTGGGCTAATGCTAAAATACTTGTAGATTTTTAAAAAAAAATCATATTGCTACAAATGAATTTTCTGGAAAATATTATCCTACTATTTCTAACTGTTTAGTTTATATTGCAGAACTTGCAACTTTGTTTGATCATTTTTCAGGGGGTGGAGAAATTTATCAATTTGCTATTGATTCTATGAGAAACAAGTTTAAAAAATATTTTTTTTCCATTTTCCCTATTTATGGTGTTGCTGCCTTGTTAAATCCTACTATGAAATTAGAGGTCCTCAATTTTGGTATGAAACTGTTTATAATGGTTTAGCACTTGAAGATGAGGAGTTGTCTAAACTTCTGGATACAATAGCCTCAATTAAAATAAAAGTTCAAACTATTTATAATACTTATCAAGTTGCATTAGAACATGTTAGACCAAATGTTCCAACTCCTTCTTCTTCTAGTTCTCAATCATCTAAAAGAACTGCGGGAGTAAGAGCACTTAGTTCTTGGGCGGGGTTCAGGAGTTCTCAAGTTCTAGTACTAGTGATTTTTCACAACTAAATGAGCTTGAAGTTTATTTGTCACAGAAAATTGAGGTAGTGAATCCCGACGCTCCTTTAATATTTTGGAATGATGGAAGGACAAAGAAAAATACTTTCTGATTCTTTCAAGGATGGCCCGAGATATTTTAAGTATTCAAGCATCAACAGTGATCGAAGTGCACTTTCAGTCAAGCAAGACTTCAACTCGGTGATTATAGAGTGTCTATTAGGGAGATCTTGAAAAAATAAGTACTTTTCAGAGATTGGATCCGTTCGAAAAGAAGAAATTTTGGACTTGCTGAATCACAACCAGAGGTAAACGAAGCTTACGAAGAAATACTAGATGAACTTGAGGAGGATGCTGCTTCGCCCGAAAGCGGTGATGACCAAGCTTCTTTTCCGCTACCACCAACGGAAATTCCTCCGGACCTTGAAGG